ATATTCATAAATTTTTTTAATATAATTTAGTTAATAAAGTATGTCAACTAAACCATAGTGTAATGTAATAATAAACCTTGATAGTAAGTATTAATCTCTATATAGTTTGCTACCACTTCGATTTCGACTAATTGTGACGACTTCGGGGTCTATCTGTGCCACCCGATATAGCTTAAATTATTGTTATGACCCAATAAACACATGTAAACTATTGTTATGAAACAATATACACTTAAAACTTTCTGACACTCCCTCTAAAATATAATCACAAGTACAGGTGAATTGAAACATATGCAAATTTTTACAAACCTCTACAATTTGGAGTTTTTATTAGAAATAGATCTATGTAAATATAAGGAATCAGTGTAAATCTCGTTCGTATTGTGACATGGTAATGTAGTGTTCAATTCCCCCATAACTAACGCTGGAACTATACACGAGCCACATTCATTACCCCTTTATATAACAATAGTTTACATTTACTTCATTGCAGTCTATAATATAACTTATAGCTTATATTTCAAAGACAAATGAGGTAGTATTTGAATATTTTGTTGTGTACAAGGTCAAAAAGTTGAAAACTTGTCTCATAAGTTGACAAAGCAAACCAATATAGTTTAACAATAAAATAGACACCTGTGGTTTATATTCATGTTCACTAGTTGTTTTCGCTCACAAACTCTCAACAAACTTGGTATATAATTATAAGTTTACTCGATCTTTACTGCACAAAGTAACTCAGTTACTGTTAGTCCCAAGAAAAGCTTTCATATGTTCGTCAATAGAAGTTTGTAAATTGCTTACGCTACCAAGGAAGTTTTTGTAGATAAAATATAACTGTATGCATTTCATCAATAACCCCCTCCCCTCCAAAATTTTGTCGAGTTTTAACCATCAAACCCTTTTTAACAGCGCATCGAGAAACACCTTTGGATATACAAACAGAAATCGTAGATTTAAAAATTTAAAATAAATTTTCATCTATGTTGCATAGTTTTCTAAATATAAACAAATGCCGAGATTATGGTTTTACCATATCCTTAGTCAAACATAAGCAAGCTCCCTTTCTCAAAGTTCGCTCCATGGATATTTTCATTAATTTGAAGGTATACAAATAATTTTCAATTTTTTTTATTATATTGTATTTTAGGATTATGGCCCTTTCAGTTATTTTCAAGCGCTATACTCTTACACTACTTCAACAAAACCTCTATTCAATATGAAACTAAACTAAGTGTATAGTGATATATTCATATTAAACTATTGAGATTAAGTTGCGCCTTCTCCAAGATAGACCTTTTGTAGTGTAGTCACGTATCAGTTTCGATATGGATGAAGCACGGGTTTATATAATAGCATATTGAGGAAGCTTTTAGAAATGCTGATCATTACAATAGTAATAGGAAAAGGGCAAGCAAAAACCACAAAAGAAAGGGAGGGTGAAAAAGAATTTTCTAAAAAAAAAAACACAACGATTGAATACAATCATTAAATTTGCATGAAATGTCTATACCTTTTGTGAGGCTATTCAATGAATTTGACTACTAAAAGAGTCACAAATCAAATAAACTGTGTGTGCTTTTAACGGAATAGAAACCCTTTTTAGTTTCAAATATTTCCTTTCGATTTCAAGGGGTGACTCACGGAATGACAAAATGTTTAAGCCGACGACACTGAACACAAATGTGAAGCTTATGATCATAGCTAAAAAAAACACACTTGATTTACATAGTATAGAATAGAATAGAATAGAATATTCCTTTTGGATTTTATGTATATATAATATCTGACAATTGCTAAATAATGAAAATCAATATCTTTATCGGCGTTTTTTATATCTGATTATATTATAGGACGTATATATAAGAGTTAACAATATCTTTGTATATAAAAAGATTATATAAAAATAATCAATCAATTGATATTTAATGTCTTATTGCAATAATTTAAAATAAGTTTATGATTTGTTTACCGTTCTTTGTCTGAAGGCCTGTAAATGAAATGAAATTTACGCCTTACTTTTTCCAGGACAGCGGCATAAAGCCAGCTCGTTTTCGATAACCAACTGTCGAGGGATCTTTAACGTGCGCAGCCTTTAGCACACAGGGCCTCGGTTTATTGTCCCATCCGAACGACTAGACACTTTTTCCATGCGATTCCTTCTTACCTGCGTCACGGGGGGAAAACTTGGTTAAAGAATTCGAAGGTTTTAATTTGACCTATCAGTCAGGCCCGTAGCGAAATGACTTCAATTGTCGGAGGGGCAAGTGTATTGTGTTTGGTTGCAGTAATGGAATTTGTCGGTTGTCAGAATTTTCGAGGAGGGAGGAAGGGCTACTGTTGGTTTCATTTGTTTCATATTTTATTGCTATGTGTCGCTTGTTTCGATATGGATTTGAATTAATAACATTATTGATTTCTTAGTAAAAAAGACCTACAGTAGCACGCATTAATTCTGTCAATTGGATTCAACACCCATATTTAAATGTTAGAATCTAATTGCTTCGTCGTTTGGGAATTGTGAAAAGGGTTTGGCAAGAGATTATCGCCTTGGCGCAAACCCGATTCACATGGAAACCATTCGCATAACTGAGTTATATATGTCGTCCGTAATTCCATCTTGTAACAATTTGTATAACACCCAGTTCCTATAGATTTAATCAAATTCCTACCTGAAATCTATAAATTGTGTTTTTGATCACAGAATTTACAATGAACCTGAGCTTTTTTCATTCTATTATCCCTTCTAGTTTCCTTGGTCGATTTCCCTCTATAAATCTTATTTCGTGATTTTCCCTTCAATCTTTTTCAGTTCGAAAATATAACCTGACTGAATACACTGACTTGAAGTATAACTGTCCAAAATATTTAAGGTAGATTGCAAAGTCAACTTGCGTATCAATTGCGTTTGTGATCAACGAGAATGCATTTTCCGGACTGAATCTTAACCACAGACGATAATTATGGAGAATTATGGCCGTTCACAATCTCAAAAACCAAACGGAGTTGATTTTGATGGAGATTTTGACACTTCAGAATCGTCAGAAATGCGCTCTCCGGGCTCAAGTATCTAAAGTATCCAATCACTTTGGTCAACGTCAACTATATTTTATTAACAAAATATCATATACAAATGATTTATACACATAAAAATGTTTTAATTAATTTAACTAATTTTAATTAGATTGAGATTTATGATGATGGTGATGATGTTTTTTATGATGGTGTTTGTTTATGTTCGTTGAGCACATTCCATCTGCCCCAAAACTCTTCCATTCCATTCCCTCTGGACATCCACAAACAGTGTCCGTGGTCGGGGTACATTGAGTGATGATTATTTGGGTCATCTCACAGGGGGAACATTCTGCACATGATTGTGAAAGATCTTCAATATGGTTGAAGGTTCCCGGAGGACAAGGTTTGCAAACTGCGTCCACTTTACCATCACATGCTTTATCTATGTAGGTACCAGCAGGGCATTTGGTACAGTCAATTGAAGCCGATCCTGTTCCCTGAACCTTCAATGAAAATGGATGATAATGCAAATGAATCTCTGAACATGATTTGACGTTTGTAGAATATTACTTGACAATTTACAACTTCAATACGATTCAATCGTTCTCTCCATAAATTGAATTGATTTGGGAATAATTTGCTCATTACGAATTAACTGTGCTGATAACCAGTGACACTCTCAAATTTCTTACCAAATAACATATTTAACATATAAACCAAACTAACTAAAAACGCTACTGCTCAGCACGAATTAACTGTTCTGATCTCGATCTAACTGTTCTGATTACGACCTGTTTGATCATGATTCATCCGTTCTGACAACGATTTAACTGTTCTGATCACGTTTAACTGTTCTGATTATGATTTAATTTTTCTGAACACGACTTAGATTGAACTGTTCTGGTTAGGATAAGGATTGGACTGTTCTGATTAGGATAAGGATTGGACTGTTCTGATTAGGATAAGGATTGGACTGTTCTGATTAGGATTAGACTGTTCTGATTAGGATTGGACTGTTCTGATTAGGATTGGACTGTTCTGATTAGGATTGGACTGTTCTGATTAGGATTAGACTGTTCTGATTAGGATTGGACTGTTCTGATTAGGATTGGACTGTTCTGATTAGTATTGAACTGTTCTGATTAGGATTGGACTGTTTTGATCACGATTAACTGTTCTGATTAGGATTAGACTGTTCTGATTAGGATTGGACTCTTCTGATTAGGATTGGACTGTTCTGATTAGTATTGGACTGTTCGGATTAGTATTGACTGTTCTGATTAGGATTGGACTGTTCTGATTAGGATTGGACTGTTCTGATTAGGATAAGGATTGGACTGTTCTGATTAGGATAAGGATTGGACTGTTCTGATTAGGATTGGACTGTTCTGATTAGGATAAGGATTGGACTGTTCTGATTAGGATAAGGATTGGACTGTTCTGATTAGTATTAGGATTGGACTGTTCTGATTAGTATTGAACTGTTCTGATTAGGATTGGACTGTTCTGATTAGGATTAGACTGTTCTGATTAGGATTGGACTGTTCTGATTAGGATTGGACTGTTCTGATTAGGATTAGACTGTTCTGATTAGGATTGGACTGTTCTGATTAGTATTGAACTGTTCTGATTAGGATTGGACTGTTCTGATTAGGATTGGACTGTTCTGATTAGGATTGGACTGTTCTGATTAGTATTGAACTGTTCTGATTAATATTGAACTGTTCTGATTAGGATTGGACTCTTCTGATTAGGATTAGACTGTTCTGATTAGGATTGGACTCTTCTGATTAGGATTAGACTGTTCTGATTAGGATTGGACTCTTCTGATTAGGATTGGACTCTTCTGATTAGTATTGATCTGTTCTGATTAGGATTGGACTGTTCTGATTAGGATTGGACTGTTCTGATTAGGATTAGACTGTTCTGATTAGGATTGGATTGTTCTGATTAGGATTGGACTGTTCTGATCTGTTTTAGATTGGTACCTTAATATTAGAGAAAACAGTTACAGTTACCACCTTTTAGATTTGTACCTTAATATAAGAGAGAACTGTCACAGTTACCACTTTTTAGATTGGTACCTTAATATTAGAGAAAACAGTTACAGTTACCACTATTTAGATTTGTACCTTAATATTAGAGAGAACTGTCACAGTTACCACTTTTTAGATTTGTACCTTAATATTAGAGAGAACTGTTACAGTTACCACCTTTTAGATTTGTACCTTAATATTAGAGAAAACAGTTACAGTTACCACCTTTTAGATTTGTACCTTAATATAAGAGAGAACTGTCACAGTTACCACTTTTTAGATTGGTACCTTAATATTAACGTCATATAAGGGTTAATGGTTAAGAGAAAAATCATAAATACCTGATAAAAAATAGAAGCTCCATGTTTTTTTTGCTTTATGACTAGGATCTAAACCTGTTTGAAATACACTAATGACTGTCACTGAGTAATCTTAATAACTATAAAGTGTATTCACGGAAGGTTTTAAAAAATGAATACTTTATTATCTATTTATGGTATAAATAACACACCGTATAATGCACTATTGCGAATTCATTTATTATGTCATCCTTCTTTAGCCTAGTAGTAAGGGGTGGGGTGGGGAGGGGTAATGGGGGTTGGGGAAGGTCAAGTAACATATCCGTAGAGGTAATACAGTATGATCTAGATGAAGTTATGAAATTGGTCGCTTGTCAGATTTTTTTTCAGGGGACATCCCCCCTTAACCACCTTGTAAGGCTGTAGCTAAGGTCATGTCTTTCCTAATCGTTTAGATGCATTTGTCAACACTTAAGAAGCAAGCAACAGATCACGGTGACCCAATCAAGCTGCTTATATCGTGTAACTAAATCACTTTATACAGGTGGCCTAGTTTCGTTTTTATTATATTATCTATTTGATTAGTATTGAACTGTTCTGATTAGGATTGGACTGTTTTGATCACGATTAACTGTTCTGATTAGGATTGAACTTTGTGATCACGTTTTGAGTATATTTTATCATCATACAGAGTACAGTTAGTGATCCCTGAGAATGGTTTGAAAATATTATTGTAATTGGACAGTTTTGAATCGGACACAATGCAAACACATAATGTAAAACCAGTATAAAGATTGAAATATTGATCTTACCAATAGTAGACCTGTCATGATCACTGGAGACCAATACATGTTTTTTCCGAAGACACTGAAACCAAATTAAACAGATTATTCAGCATAGTCCTCAGATTAAAAGGAGTGTTAGTTGATAATGATAACAAGAGAAGAATATAGTCGTCGCTGAGAAACCTCGCTACGATAAATAGAAAGGACATAATCCCGATAATGTCTTATCTTTTTTCTGAAATGTTTCATTTGAATTCACGTTTTTTACTCGAGAGGGCAATCAAAACATACATGACCATAACTGCAGTGTGATAATCTGAGATGTAGAAAAAGCTGTGAATAAATAAGGTATATTATCAAGTACCATATATTAAACGTTATAAGTCACATTTTGGGGGTTATTTGACATTTCTTAAACCGGAACTCCCCCCTCCCTATTAGCTAAGAGCTTGATTAATTTTCAAAAATTATTCCATGATTTTCGTGTTATTTCATCATACTTTTATGTCACAATTACCACCTTTTAGATTTGTACCTTAATATTAGAGAGAACTGTCACAGTTACCACTTTTTAGATTTGTACCTTAATATTAGGATGGGGAGTCACAGTTACCACTTTTTAGATTTGTACCTTAATATTAGAGAGAAGTCACAGTTACCACTTTTTAGATTTGTACCTTAATATTAGATGGGGAGTCACAGTTACCACTTTTTAGATTTGTACCTTAATATTAGATGAGGAGTCACAGTTACCACTTTTTAGATTTGTACCTTAATATTAGAGAGAACTGTCACAGTTACCACTTTTTAGATTTGTACCTTAATATTAGAGAGAACTGTCACAGTTACCACTTTTTAGATTCGTACCTTAATATTAGAGAGAACTGTCACAGTTACCAATTTTAGATTTGTACCTTAATATTAGAGAGAACTGTCACAGTTACCAATTTTAGATTTGTACCTTATTATTAGAGAGAACTGTCACAGTTACCACTATTTAGATTTGTACCTTAATATTAGAGAGAACTGTCACAGTTACCAATTTTAGATTTGTACCTTATTATTAGAGAGAACTGTTACAGTTACCACTATTTAGATTTGTACCTTAATATTAGAGAAAACAGTTACAGTTACCACTTTTTAGATTTGTACCTTAATATAAGAGAGAACTGTCACAGTTACCACTTTTTAGATTTGTACCTTAATATTAGAGAGAACTGTTACAGTTACCACCTTTTAGATTTGTACCTTAATATTAG